GCCTCCTGTACTCCCCCCACCCCCACCCCACCAGCACTGGGGATTAAGCCCAAAACTTGGGCATATGCTCTGACCAGAAATCAAACTGTGACTTCCCCAGTTCAAAGGTTGACATTCAACCACTGAGCTACACTGGCTGGGCATTAAGCATTTACTTTAAATACACAATATTTTGCCCCTGATTTTCTATGCAATAAGTAAGGATTACTCAAAATTGGTGTCATTTCAAAAAAAAAGAATACCAATTATAATTGCAATGAACAACATAAACTAATGAACAAAAACAGATCCAGAGACAGAAAAACATCAATCAGAATGTCAAACCTAAGGGAAAGTAGGGGAGGGTGGAGGTAAGGGGGAGAGATCAACCAAAGGCCTTGTATGCATGCATATAAGCCTAATCAATGGACACACACAACAGGGGGGAAAGGGCATGAATGAGGGGGGTGGGGGGGGGTAATGGGGAAATAAGGACACATGTAATACCTTAATAAAGAAATTTTTAAAAATGAAAATAAAATTTTGAAAATTTAAAAAAAAATTATAATTGCTAAGGATTTAACTAACATTTTAGATTAAGGAACTGTATGATATTATGCTGAACATTCCCTATAAATGAACTTAAATATAAATGGAGAGTCACAAACATCCAACACTACTCCAACACTTTAGCTCCTAAAATCAAATGAAGAATTAAAAGGTTCCATCTTTAGTGCCAGTCAATGTTTTTTAATAAAGTCCTACATCTAAATTTAATAAAATACAAAAATAGCCCTAGCTGGTATGGCTCAGTGGATAAAGAGTCAGACTATGGACTGAAGGGTCCTGGGTTCAATTCTAGTCAAGGACACATGGCCACTCTGCGGCCTCAGGAAACAGCAGGTCAATGATTCTCTCTTATCACTGATGTTTCCCTCTCTCCTCCCTTCCTCTCTGAATCAATAAAAAACATATATTTTTAAAAAATACAAAAATAAATCATGTTTACCTCTGGACAACTAAATAGTCACTCATCATTAAAACTAAAGCTTCTGTTCCTCTCCTCAGGTATACCAATTTGACTTGGAGATCTATCTGGCTTTATTCTAGGAATCCATACATTGAAACTACTGATGTTTTTCATAAAAAAAAAAAAAAAAAAAAAAAAAAAAAAAAAAAAAAAAAAAAAAAATCTAATCCTGGTTGATATGGATCAGTGGTTGGAGCATCGGCCTTTGGACCCAAGGGTCATGGGTTCTCATGGGTTCAATTCCCAGTCAAGCATATGCACCTGGGTTGCAGGTTCATTCCATCCCCTCCTCCCAAGTCGAGGTTTCTCTCTCCTCTCTCCTCTCTCCCTTCCACTCTCTCTTTAAAAAAAAAAAAAAAGGAAAAAATATCCTAGGGTGAGGGTTAACAAAAGTCTATGTCTTGCTTTGAAAAAGCCAAACAGGATCTATTCTGTTTGTCAGTATATTTTGTTTATTAACCAGGAAACATATGCATATATGCATAGCCAATAGGCACAGATAATAATGTGGTGAAGGCCTGGGAGGTGCGGGTGCTGGGTGGAGGGGATCAATAGGGGGGGGAGGGGGGAAACAACTGGAACATCTGTAATACTATCAACAATAAAAATAAATTAGAAAATAAAAATAAAATAAAAATTTAAAGCCAAACAATATTTACCCTCCCATGTCATTTCTTACACTACAAAATAAGTTTTCTGGTTCCAGAAAGTAGAGTCAATGCTCAAATCTACATATACACATCATCTTCAAAGGTACAATTCTCTTCCACATGTAATAAGTAAATAATAGTTTGGTAAAAGACAAGCCAACTTTAAAAAACTAGCTATCCTGATTTTTAAAAAATATATTTTATTGATTTTTTTTACAGAGAGGAAGGGAGAGGGATAGAGAGCTAGAAACATCAATGAGAGAAACATCAACCAGCTGCCTCCTGCACACCCCCCACCAGGGATGTGCCCGCAACCAATGTACATGCCCTTACCGGAATCGAACCCGGGACCTTTCAGTCCGCAGACTGACGCTCTACCACTGAGCTAAACCGGCTTCGGCCCAATTTTTTTTTTTTTTAAATATATTTTATTGATTTTTTACAGAGAGGAAGGGAGAGAGATAGAGAGCCAGAAACAACGATGAGAGAGAAACATGGACCAGTTGCCTCCTGCACACTCCCTCACTGGGGATGTGCCCGCAACCAATGTACATGCCCTTACCGGAATCGAACCCGGGACCTTTCAGTCCTCAGACTGACGCTCTACCACTGAGCTTCAGCCCGATTTTTTTTTTAAATTACCTGTCACAAAGATGATATAAACCTATCAAATTTTACCAAATTCATCCTGTGCACTTGAAATAACTATGTAATTAAAAGGATCTATTCAGCCCTAGCCAACGTGGATAGAGCGTCAGCCTGCGGACTGAAGGGTCCCAGGTCCCAGGTTCAATTCTGGCCCAGGGTGCATGCCTGGGTTGTGGGCTCGATCCCCAGTGCGGGGGTGTGCGGAGTCAGCTGATCAATGATTCTCTCATCATTGATGTTTCTATCTCTCCTCCCTTCCTCTCTGAAATCAATAAAGAACTATATTTAAAAAAATTAAAATAAATAAAAGGATCTATTCAATCATGAATATAAATTCTTATTAATACACATACAACTTTTTTTTTTTAAAGATAGGTAAAGGATCACCCTGGCCGATATGGCTCAGTTGGTTGGAGCATCTGCCAATGTACTGAAAGGTCACAAGTTTTATTCCCAGTTAAGGGTACTAGGTTGGGGGTGGGGAGTGTCATATGGGAAGCAACCAAACTATGTGTCTCTTTCACAACAATGTCTCTCTCTCTCTCTCAAATAAAATAATAAAATGCCAGTCAGGCCTGTCTCAGTGGTTGAACATCGACCTACGAACTGGAAGGTCACAATTCAATTCCTGGTTAGGGGACATACCCCAGTTGGGGGCTCAATCCCCAGTGTCCCCAAAAATAATATGAAGTAACAGTCAATGATAGCAGTCAATTTACTACATAATTCAATTAGATTTGACAAATATATACTGTGTGAAACCAACACAAACTTTAATCACCAAGCCAAGTTGATAAACCTGTCATTTTGTCTTTCACACTTTATGTTCCATGGACAATTACTGTAAAACCACCTAAGTTCTATACTATGACCTACTTTAAAGATAGACAAGGTGTTAAAAATGTACATATATATGTGTGTGTGTGTGTAGTCTTTATGTCTTAAAATTGTTCAAAAATACCTATCTTAACCAGTAGAAAATTCTGTAATATGAGCACTCACTGAAGAGATATTAAAAGTATGGTAGGCAAACTGCCACATAAATAAGCCACCAATATGCTCTCATATCAAAAGTTATGATATGGAAGGGATTTACACTTCAGATATAATTTTGTCATGTAATCTTAGAAAGAAAAACACATCGCTCTAAACTTCAAAATTCCCACAACCAAAATTCTAAGTAAGAAAGGTCCTCCAAATATGTGGTGTACTTCTTACATGAAATGACTACAACTGCACATGAACCAAGAGAAACAAAACAGGTTAGATAAGGAAAGGATTAACTGTGCAACAAGTAGCAATCACTATAATTAACAAACAAATAAAAAAATCTTACCAGGACAAAAATCATAGATTTCTGGTATCTCCCTACAACTACCTTGTTAAAAAAAAAAAAAAAAAGTGAGACTTGTTTGATGAAAGGCTCTTCCTCTGAAAGACTGGATCCCAATATCCCTTAGATATGTATGTAACAGGTCAACAATTCTACAAGTTTGACATGCTAAGCATACTCTTTCTTTTTTCCCCCAAGAAAGTTTAACTCAAGAAAAGTCAAAACAAAATAATTCTTAAATGTACAAAATTCCACTACTGATACACTTTCCTTGGAAAAGTTAAAGAAATATAATCTCAGCATTTAGAGGAGGCAAGTCTCTGACATTAGGCTTGCCGGAACACATACCTGCTAATACACTCCACACCTTTTTACCAATCACATCAGGAAAAAAGATAGCCTTTTCTCAAAAAGAGTGGAGATCATCAACAAATGGATTAAAGAATTACTTTTCCCCCTCCAAACTAAGTCTAAAACACAGAGCCAAATAAGACCACCATAAATTCCTTCAGAGTCCTCTAGGTCTTTCAATTCACCAAATTTCACAGAACAAATATAATTTTGTGACTTTCCTCATACCCCACTCTGCAAGGACAAATTCAAACTTCTGAAATAAATACATGGTGAGAATATTAATAAGCTGACTAGGGAAGCAAAATCAAATTCTGAAAGTCCATCAGGGAAACCTGGAGAAGAAAGCAGGGCCTAAAGGAGCGCATGCATATTCATATGCACATGCAAATGAGTTCCCTCCAAATCATCACTAAGTAAAAACGTCCTTCAACAAGGTGTCATGTATCAGACATTTCTCCCAAAATACAAAATACAGAACTTCATCAGCATCCAGTATTTTACCTTTTCTCAAACCCCTCCTCCTTCCTTCCAAACCTATCGAAGTGTTCATTTGTTTAAATAAAGACTCAATAGTTTTACTCCCCAGCTCAAGGCCACAAAACCTGGCACACCAGAATCTTTAAAAAATGTTAGCCAACCATCCTTCCTCAAACAGTTTTGCCTCTGGAATTTACATTCTAACCTAATTTGAATAATTACAATGTCAGTATTACAAAATTAGGAATCCTTGTCAGGCTGTAATCCAGAGTCCTCGGATTTACAATGGTCCCTATAGACGTTAAAGGCCCCATATATAACTCCATTTCCAATCAAGAGGAATATGAAGGCTCGAACTGTTTGGCCTAAAACCCAAATGAGGTAGTCATGATATACCGTCTCTCCATCTCTATTGTACAGAAAAGCCACCTGAAAAGTGGTCATCACGCTTCATTCACAAATGGAAACATTATAGTTATTCTACTTAAAAACTGGGGGGGGGGGGGGGATATAACGAGAAAATACTAACCAATCTCTGGCTGTAACGAATCCTCTCTTCTTCGGGTTCCATCGCTCACTCTTCTGTTGAAGTTACTGTAAAGAAACCACTCCAGGGCTGCCTTCTTCCTCCTCGGGAACCAGCGTGATTGCAACACTGAAGAGGAATGATATGAGCAGAGATGAGAACTCACACTCAACCTCTCCTTCCGCGGAGAAAAAGTGTTTAAAATGCGTGTAAGGTAGAAGCTCGGCGAGAAATCTGGTTCCTCTTCATCTGCTTGGGACCCCTGTGCTCTTGGGCAAGTGGTTCCATGTCCTGACCAACATTAATCAAATTACAACAGTCCGAGGCCTAAGCAATAGGAGATGCTGGTTTCAGTTCCTGTGGTCGGCCCACGCCACTTGTTTCTCCCCACAGGATACAATTAGCAAGGATCCCCTTCACGGCAGCATTAGCAAAAAAAATAAAAAATAAAAAAAGGGCTGAGGGGGGTGGGGGGCACTGGCCAGGGGTAGCAGGTACTGAATCCCAGACCCTAACCAAATCAGTTCTCTCCCTGGCCATGAGAAACGGGAGGCAAGAAGGGCAGCCCGACCCCATATAAAGAGGGCAAGACATTAGGATCTGAAGAAAAACTTCAAAACCCTTTCCCACGCCCCTCTAGAAAGCAGCAATCCTCGCCTTCCTCCCCGAGGATCCTTTCATTCCCCAACCCAACCCGAGACGCGGACAACTCTGCGATTCCAGAGTTGCAGAATCAGGGACAAAACATTCCATCGGATACTTTGGGCAAATAAATAAAAACAAACGACTCTACCTACAGAGGTTAAGTAAAATACACCTTTTCCGAAAATTAAATAAAGACGGGTTTGCGCCACGGACTCATAATACCAAGAATGGTTTTTCTTTTCTTTTTTCTCTCTTTTCTCTTTTTTTTCTCCCTAAATATCCTTAGAGCTGATGGCTTCCAGAGGGGACGCGGATTTGTTTTCCCTTCTCTGCCGGCATCGCCGCCGCGTCCACAGCATCCCTTCAGGCCGGCGGGAGCCGCGCCGGCGGCAGTGGTAGAGGCCGTGGCGGGGCGCCCCCGGGGAGGCCCGCGCCCCAGGCCGGAGGCAGCGCGGGCCCCGGGCGCGGGGCGCGGGGCGCGGGCCGGAGGGCGGCCGGGCCGGGAGCGGGGAGCGGGCCGCGGCCGATCGGCCGGGCTCCCCGGGGAAAGGCGGTGCAATGGCTCGCCCGTCGGAAAAAGAAATAGAAACTTTACGTTGAGTCCTTAGATAACACCGACCGAGAACCAAACTTCCCAAGGGGAGGGAGGCGAGCGCGGGGGATCTCACCGGGGGTTTTGCTCTGGAGTTCGGGACCGAAAGAGAAGTGAAAAGATTCCAAAAGCCGAGAGGAAAGAATGAGATCCCAGACGTCCTCTTCCTTCGTCTTTCCCCCGCGGCTCAGCCCGGTATCCGGAGGGTCAGGGCGACCCGGAGAGGAGGGGAAGCAGTGGCCGAGTCAAGCCGCCTCTTCTGGCTCCGGAGCCCGGGCGGCGGAGGCGGCGGGAGAGGGGAGCGCGACCCCCCGGCGCCGAGCCCCGGGCGCCCCCGCCTCCCCCGGGCCAGCGGGCAGCAGCCGGAGCCCGAGCCCCGGGCCGGCGCCGGCCGCGGGGAGCGCCCTCCTCGCCGTGCCCGCGGCCAGCAGCCGCCGGACGTCCCCGGAGCCCGAGATCGGCGGCCGATCAGCTGAGACCGGCCGGCCCGAGGCTCCCCGCGCCGCCCCGGCCCCCCGGAACGCGGGCCCGGCCCCGGGGGGCAGAGAGGGCGGGAGCGGCCAGGCGCGCCGGGCTGGGGGCCCGGGCTGCCCTCGCGTCGCCCCCTCAGCCCGGGCTCCGCGCTGCGGGACGAGCCCCCGGTTACTCCCCAGTCGCAGAGAAGGGATTCCGGGGGATGGGCCCCCTGGCGTTGCTCCTCCTCCCGGGGCGCCCCTTGCCCAGAACGGACAGAGCGGCGACAGGCCCAGCCGCCGGGAAGGTGCTCTGCGAGCCGCCGCCGCCGCCGCCGATGCCGGGGAGGGGTGTTGTTTCCCTCACACAGGAGGAGCCGCCGAAGCAGCCGCCGCCATTTTGAACCCGTCAGACTCTCACATACACACAGCTCCTCCGCGGCGCACTGCGCAGGCGCCGCCTCCCCACCCCTCCCCCGGCCGCCTCTCCGCCCCCCGCGCCCCCGCCAGCCTCCCTACGCGCTTACCGCTCGGCCCGGCGCACGGGAACGCGCACGCGTCACTCTGCCCTACGCGGACACGCCGCCGGCGCGCGCACGCGCGGATGCGTCGGCCTCGAGACGCCCGCGCCCGGCGACGCCGACGCCGACGCGGCTCCCTGGCGCCCCCCCCCCGCCCCGCCCTCACCACTCGCGTCGGCGGCCGGCCTCCCGCAGGCCCGCGGCCCCCGCTCCCCGCGGGCTTCCTTCCAGAGCCCGGGCCGGCCGCTGCTCGCGCCTGCGCGCAGCCACGGCGCCTCCGCGCTCCCCCACACGCCCTCGTTCTCACACAGACACACACGTACCCTCCGCCTGTGACCCCGCCCCTCGCCGGCCAGCTGCGCCGCGGCCCTCCCCCCGCTCCGGGAGGGGGTGACCCCCGACCCCCCACCAAGCACCCCCCCCCCAGCAGTGGGAGAGGCGCCTGGCTCCCCTGCAACCGCCTCAAACGGCGGCCGCAGCCACACACCCTGAGGGCCCGGCGGCCTGGGCCCGGGCGGCCGTTGCCCGCCTCAGAGCGGGGTCTCCCGGGGTCAGGAAGCCGGGCCCGGCCGACCCGACCTGGGCGCCCCGCTCGGGCCTGCCCCGGGCGCGGGGGCGCGGGGAGGGGACGCCTACCGTCTGCCGCCCTGTGCCGGCGCCGCCAGTGGGCCGAGGCCCGCCTGCCCGCCGTCCCCGGGCAGGCCCGGCGCCCCCGCCGCGGGAGCCGGCCGCCCTGGGCCGGGGGCGGGGGGCTCCTCGGCGCAGCGGCCCGGCCCCGCCTCACCCATCCTCGCCGCTCCGAAGGGGCAGGAACCGGGAGCAGCATGTCTGTCCGGGGTTCGGGCCGCGGGGGGGCCCAGGCGCTGACAGGGGCGTCCGTCCACAGGCGCCGGGCGCCCCCGCGGTCTCCGCGACGGCCCGGGGGCGGCGGGGGCGGCGCGCCCGCCGCAGGCCCGGTGCCCGGGAGGCGGCCCGGGAAGCCCCGCTCGGCCCCGCTCAGGTCTCCGCGCGCCGGGCCCCGGGGGCCCGGGTGGGACGTGACCCCGCCCCCGGCGGGTCGGGGCGCCCTCCACGGAGGGGTGCGCGGGCCCCCGGCCCCGGGCCGGCACCTCCGCCCCGGGCCGAGGCGGGCGCGCAGGCCCGGCCGGGAAGATGTCTCCTCTCGGTGCGCGCAGCTTCGCGCGAGGGTCAGCGGCGGGGCAGCGGCCGCCCGGGGCGCGCCGGCCCTGCCCACGGCCCGGCTCCCGCGGCTCGACAGCTGCCCGACGGGCTAGCGGGCGGCGGACGTCGACGGACCGGGCCGGAGGCAGCGGAGCAGCGCCATGCGAGCCGCCGGGCTGCGATCCGGGCGCCCCCCGGCCCGGCTGGCGCTCCGGGCCCGCGGGGACGATACAGCCCACAAAGGACCTTGGCTGGGGCGTTACGCATCCGGGTCCGCACCGCCGGCTCCACTGCACTCCTGCTGAGAGGTGTCACCCGGACCGCCTCCTCCCCGTCTTGGTTTCCCACGCTTTCAACCTCCGATTCCTGGGCTGAGGGCATGGAGGGGAGAGGAAGGGCATGGGATGAATCCTGCAGCTGGCATAAACAGCCTCCAACTCTCCGAGGGAGACTTTGGAGAAAGGCCATTGACATAACGGTACCTTCAAGGTTTGAATTCTGGCACAAAGGCACTAGGTAAAGCCAAGGTGTTCTTTGTTACCACTGCAGGTGTTCCTGCATGCGAACTCCGGAGGTTTTACACACATTTTGTACTTGGTTTCACAGCACCCTTCGGAGACAAGCTACTGGGCCCCGTAGCATTTTAAAGTCAGACACTTGAAGTATAGAAGGATCAGAGCTTTCATAGTTAACTCTTACAGAGAGTGGTCCGGCACTCTGCAATAGCAACGTCTCCCAGGCAAAGATCTGTTAATAGGGTATCACCCTCTGGCATTCCAGTCATTGGGAAATATTCTTGACTCCGGTATCAGTTTTGTTCAGACTTCTTAGATTTTTCAGAGCACCGATACCAAGATCTTTACCGAAGTTTTATCAGGCCGACAGCCTTCTGAAGTCTTTCAAACTGTAGGAGGTGTTTAAAAGCCCTGCACCCTGGCACCACCAGATGTGATCCGTAGGCACCTGGGTCTCTGTAGGTATAGAAAAACGCAGCAGCTTGTTTATTTTGTTAAGTAGGAAAGATTTTTGCCGTTTGTCGGATTAAGGAAGAGTTGGGCCTTGTTGCTATTTGCAAAAGAAGTGCCTTTATTTTCTTTCCACTCACCCCTGTGGCCCACAGGATAGTTGGGGGCAGACAGAGAAAAGGAGGTCTCTTGCTGTAGGTCAACTTGGTCTTGCCCTTTATCTTAAAGTCCCGGGTCCCTCAGCTAATTACTCCTTATCTACCGGAGCTGCTCACCTTCGGCAAACAACTGCCTTCTCCAGGTTAACCCGGGTGGAGTACGCTGGGAGGAAACCTAAGGAGAATCCAAGAACAACAATAGCAATACTTATTTTGGGGCAGAACTGCAAATAGAGGTTTGTCCAATTGCAGACAGGCCTTTCTCAGTTGAAAACCATTTGTTGACTAGTCTGCGTAGAGAGAAATGATGTTTCAACAGACATACCCAGCCCTAGCCAGTTTGGCTCAGTGGATAGAACATTGTCCTGAAGACAAAGGTCCCAGGTTTGATTCTGGAATCATTGATCAGCTACCACCTGCACACCACCTACTAGCTCAAGCCCTAGTAGGTGGTGTGCAGGTGGTAGCTGATCAATGATTCTCTCTCATTGATGCTTTTATCTCCCTCTTCCTCTCTTAAATCAATAAAAATATTTAAAAAAGTAAAATAAAAAATAAACAGACATACACAATGGTTTCTCCACAAAGCCAGCTTTGTTAATATTCTAAGGCAGATGTGCAGGGTGAGATAAAAG